CTATTGACAGAGAGCACAGCTTATTGATTTCTTGGGGTTTTTTTATTTTTGTTTTCTTATCTTCAACATCTTGTCTAGATACACAAGCACCAGTGGTCCCATATTGGCACTTGCCTGGCCTGGGCATTATTGTTTACCTGCTGAAACAGAGCACTAGTGATTTCTTCAGTTACTATGACAGCCATCGTCAGAGTGTTAACAAACTGCAAAATGTGGAGCAACTGCCACCAGATGAAATAAAAGAGGTAATTGTTCTTCTGACTCCCTACTTTCTGTATTGTAGTAAGTTGGACACAGCTGTAACAAAGGCTCCAAAGCATCTTTGATAAGCAAGTAGTTCCACTTCTTGTGCATATTATTTTCTGCTGGTGGTGAAGGGGGTCATAGCAGAAGTGATCTAAAACTTTGGGGAAAATATTTGGCTTAACTTTGTAAAAGTTGTGACTTCCATTATAGTTGCTTTGAGATGGGTTTCATTTTTCATTTTTTGGTCAGCAAGGTTATGCAAATTCAAAATAGAGAGCAACATTGTAAAGAAATAGTAGCTTAGAAGAAAGTTCTAGATATTAGTAAGTAATCTTATTTGCTTATTTCTCTTGATGTTCTGTAATTTGCTACTGTCTTTCTGTATTTTCTCTTCCCATCACAGCTGTGTCAGTCAGTTATGCCAGCTGGGGTTGACAAGATTTCCACTTCCCAAAAATACGTATTGGCAAGGCGGCGCCTGGTGAAACTAATAAATAACCGAGCCAAGTTGCTCTCTCTCTGTTCCTGTATCCTTCTAAAATTGAAATGACCCTCAAGGTGATGATCCAGAAAAGCAGAGAGATAGAAACAGGGTTGCTTTGCAAAAAGTAAATTTGAAATACTGACAACTTACGAGGGTATTGCTCTGCTACTGCCAGAATGTAAGGATTTTCAAGTTAGTGATTCCCATTTTGAAACCCAGCTACAACTTTCTGCAATATGCCAATGAAGGAATTGTTACAGCCCAGCTCTTCAATTTTAGTGTCCAGACCCCATAAACATTCACACATGTCCAAGTGTGGTGGAAAAAATACTTTGAAAAATAGTTTTGATGTGCCTGTCTTAATAGGAGTTTGTAGTCTTACAGCCAATCTTGCATAAACCTAAATCTCATAAACACCAGTAATTCTATGGAAATAACCAGTCATGCACAAAAGAATTGTCTTCAACAGATCAGAATTTTCCTCTGCAACCTCCCTTGAGAAAGATGTGCTCTTGCACACTTTGCTATTTTTGCCTAAGATGTTCCTACCATGCCTGGCTATAACCTCAGCTTTACTTTACTGTGTGCATCTGAGGTAGTTTTACAAACCACATGAGCACTCCACACTCTGCTCTCCTCCTGAGGGCTGGATTGAGGCTCTGCAGGGTGATGAGGACAGTGAGTGTGAGCGATCCATCACTGGGCTGTGGCAGTGAAGGAGGTGACAGGTGGTTGAGCTGACATCTTCAGCTGTTTCCAAGTGTGTAAATATGCTCACACAGTCAATGTACAATCCAAAGACAACCAAATTGGAGTCCTTCACTGAGATGTGTCTGCAGATATCATAGAAATATGTCTCTTCATTCTTTGGCGCCACCTGGAACACTACCTACTGCACTGCACACCCACTGACTCCCAAGACCCGCTGCTGTCCTCTAGGATGTCCTTTAAGAAAGGAAGGCTGCAAGGTAAAATTTCTCAAGCATCAAAATGCCTTTGAATAACTTCTTGTGATTAGCTTTAAAGCTGATTTCCTACTATTAGTATCTTGCCTTTTATATTTAATAAAAGAGATTTTGTTTGGATTTGACACACCTTTGGATATCCCACAGGAGCATTAGCAATACTGATACTGTTTGCTCACAGACTTCTAGTTTTCGTGTATTACACATAACCTCCAAAGGAAAGTAAAAGTAACTATTTTTTTTTATTTCTGCTCTTCAAACTAACTGAAGTTCAGCTAATACAATCAGATAAGTGATCCAAAATAGTTTATAGGAAAATATTTCAATATAATCGAAGATGAAATTGTGAAATAAAGTTAATATTGGTGGTTTTAATAGTATGTTTAGAATTATAGCCACCATTGATTCAGCAGAGGATTTTATCCTCTGTTGAAAAAATTTCAGCTTTAAAAAAAAGAAAGAAATGGAAGGAAATCAGGGAGAATGGATTTGTGGAAGAGTCTTTTGCTTAAAGTGTCATGTTGTGTGATCAAAATTATTTATGACTCACTGTTTATGTATTTTCTCTAAGTCATTTAAGTAAAAAAATCAGTGTAATTCCTAATGCATAAGTTTACTTCTGGATCAAATTGGAACACTTCAAAATTTGTTATATGACTTGATACAGAGATAGTGTGGAGCAGCCAACACAATTTTAACATCTTGTTTTCTATTGCCAGATTCCTTTGGTTCAGAGCCAAGCTTGGATTTCAGTAGTGGACTGAATCGAGTGAGCCAGCACGACATAGACCAGGTGAGATGTGACAGTCTGCTGCAGGCTACAGAAGGCTCCTGCCTACCCTGCAGCAATTAGAAGCAGTGTGACTGTTGTTTTCCCACTTCTGAACAACCTGCAGTAACACCAACAGCATAGAACTTAATCTAGGATTAGTGAAGCATTACAAAATTGTTTTGAAAAATATTGTGAAACAGGTGGCACTTTTGCTGCTGTGTACGTATCTTTGAATCTTAATATGAAGAGTTAAGTAAAAAATGAGCTATACTTATAATGTAATCACTCTTTTTCTCTTACCAACCAGTCAAATGGTGTTTTTTAAAAACAGCTTTCCCAAAACACCAGATATCCTTGAAAGACCTGCAATATGAGGGCAAGTTTCTCAATTTTCTGTGATCAAACTGTTCACGATGGGTCAGCTTCAGCTAGGCTATGGAGAAATGATATCAAAAGGGTGACAGGAACTGAGGAGACTGTAAAATGAGAATGTTAGAATAGAAGTAATTTCCACTTACACATAAATAATTTATGCAAGTTTGCATAAATTTGATGCAGAAGTGGCAGGAAAAAAAAAGATATTAATAAATCCCACTGACATTTCTATGACTACGCAGACAACAACTGTTCTTCAAAACAGCAGTCTCAAGTACCTTTATAAGATCTAGAACAGTAAGAAAAGTTGCTGTGTCTTTTGTGATGGGCATGTATCATTAATTTTGTTTGATCAAAAGTAAAGTGTACAGTATCATCTTGGTAAAATACTTAAAATGTAATTAATTCAGTGACTCTTTACATATGCATTAATGAAAAAATGTTGTTGGTGCACACAGATTCTCTAAAGAGTCCTTAAAGGGCTAGGAAAATTTTAATTGGAAGATATGTTTGTAGGACTTTGAGTGAAGAAGCTGAATTATAACCAATCATTCCTAAAACAGAATAAGTAGTACTTATTAGAGAAGTCAGAAAAACCCATTCTTTGGAAATCAGGTCAGAGAGTAAATCATAGTGAAGGGGTTGACAGGCAGTGGATGATAAGCTGGCTTTTCAGGAAGAAAAGATTTTGTACTGATGACTGCATCAAATCTCTGTTTCTCAGCTTCAGACTGAAGCCACAAACAGCTTTGGTGAGTCTCTGCAGAAGAAGCTCCTGGACATCGAAGGTTTATATTCCAAGATTCGCTCGCGGTACACCTTTATTCAAGCTCTCGTTAGACGTATCCGTGGTCTCCTAAGGATATCAAGGACCTAAAAGACACTTGGTACATGCTGCTTGCCCAGTAAAGCTGTGTACTAGGGCAGGCCTTCTGGATCATTGCATTTTGTAGATCAAACATTTTCTAAATACTGCCAAAATTATTTTGTTACTTTTTTTTTTATCCCTGTGGATGAATTTTGTGTATTCTTTCCTACTGCTCCCAACTTGACATAAAAAATAAAGGATTGTTTTCGACTGAGTTATGAATAATGTAAAATTTCAAGCAAGAAAGAATTCTAATGGAGGGCCTGAAGGAAACAGGAAGTTCTGCAGCTGTGAAGATACTACATTTGTGGATGCTTTCAGAGAAAACTAAAACATCTTTGTCTGTGCTGTTCCTGTTTCACACAGAGATTTAATGAAACCATAGAGTTCACGTGTCATCACTTGCAGACTGATTACAGTGGTGTGGATTTTAGATTCATTTTGCACTGTGAACTGCTAATTTCTGCTCCCCCCCGTCCTGCCTCTCTTTCAGCTGGAAGAAGTACAAGCTGCTTCTCTTTCAACAAGTTTAAATGAGAAAAGTGATAAAAGTCATGGAACGTAACTGCTATAGGTTTGGTTCTTGTGGCTGGGGGAGTAAAGGTTTCTGTGCTTTCTTGCTGCAACTCTAGTGTAAGGACAGAACAAAGTGCATGGGGAGGGAGCCAGTAATCGTGAATGGTAGGTTGGTTCTATAGTTAGATTGTTCTCCTATGAGGCTTTCATATATCTTTGTATCTTCTGTAAAAAAAGCTATTAAAAAAAGTGTAATTACATATTATTGACACGAGATCTGTTGCACTTCTCCCTTAACTCAGTCTGAGCTTACGGCCCAGTTCGTATGTGCCTTGCACATTGTTTCCTCTGAGTCTTCCTTATGTAATAGTTCAATTTTTTTGTGATTTTATATTTACTTATCTGCACAACCTAATTACATGGATGACATCATTTTTATGCAGGGATGACGACAGTGCTGCTGTCAGGTGAGGCCTGTTAGCTAATCCACAGGAGCAGCTTGGTATCAGTGTTTTACACAGCGGACTTTGTTCACTTCCAGCAGGGAATGTTTCTTGTTTCTCCCCCACTCGGAGAGAACCAGTCGCTAATCCAAGAAGTGTTCTGGCTCCGAGGGCTCCCCGCCCCTTGGAGAGCAGGCCGTGGTTCCGAGCTCCCGTTCTGTGCCCGAGGGTCCCGTTGGCCGCCGGCTCTCGGGGCGCGGCAGGCCCCGGCCCGCTGACGCCGCCGGCCCCGCCCGCCGCGCGCTCCCGCCGCGCGCTCCCGCCGCCGCAGATTCGCCACGCGCCGGCCCCGGGGCCGCGGTTTTTATTCCGCAGACCTTTCTCCGCGCTCTGATTCCCGCCCGGGCGTGTCCGGGGAGGGCGCGGGGAGGGTCCCGCTCCCAGACCTTCTCTCCTCGCCGGGGGCGCAGCCGGGCTCCGTGTGTCGAAACGGCGGCGGGCGCGGAGCGCTTTGTTTACTCGCCGCGGCGTTCGACGTGGAGCCGGGCGGCGGCGGCAGGGCCAGCGCGGCGAGGGCAGCGGAGCGGGGCGGGCCGGAGCGCCGGCGGAGCGGCTCGACATGGGTGAGGAGCGGGCGGGAAGCGGCTGCCCGAGGGGCCCCGTCCGTCACGACCCCTCCCGGCGGCCGTGGAGGCGGGGGCGGCGGGCAGGGCGGACGAGTCGGTGCGGAGCCCTCCCGCGGGAGGCACGGTGTCCTGCCCGCCGGCGGCGGCGGAGCGGGGCTGAGGGCCGCGCTTGGGCCATGCCCACCTGCCCTCAGGCCGGGCCCTGCCCGCCGGCCGGTTCCCGGGCAGCCGGCCCTGGAGCGCCCGGAGGCCGCGTTGGAGCTGCCTTCGCTGGCGAATCGTCCGGGCAGCGGCAGGAGGGTGTGTTCGGTCATATCCTCAGGCTTCTGTGCTCCTGACACCTGGCAAAATTAAACTCTGAATCGAGTCTGGAATGGGCTGCTGATAAGGAGCGGATTAGGAGGGGAGGTCCTGCAGACTAGCAAATGAAGTAGAGGGTATGTTAAAGAGAGGCCCCGAATCTGAGGGTTGATTGATTGAGGTGAACCTGTCCTGTTGCAGATGGTGTTTGAGCAGTGTTTTAGTGTGGGAAAAGCATGCACAATAGCATATAATAAACAGAGGGAGTGAGAGATGTCTGGCTGTAAGCAAAGTTACTGACTGAAAGAATTTTTGTACCTTTGGCCTCCATGCAACCAGTGGTAACCTCCTACTTGTGATGTTTCTATTGAAATACCATTTTCCAGCTCAGTTCTCTTAAGGTTATTTGCCTGCTTGGCAGTAAGAGGTGCCATGAGCAGCACTATGCAGACTGGCAGATGATGGTCCCTTATACCTTCTCCTTGTTTTCCAGGTCTGTAGCAGGTATGGCTTCTGTGGTGGGATGGGCTTAGAAGAAATAAAGCAACCTGTTATCAGTCTGAGTTCCTTCTGAAGTATAAGCTTTGCTTCCTCCTTTCCCTGGAAAAGCAGATGCCTAGATAGCCAAACAGGAAATAATTTTTATCAAAACACCTTTCAGTAAGATTTTGGTTGCAAATCTTCTTAATTTGTCTCTGACATATTTATCAGCGTTGTCAGTGATTCTGGCTTGTTTCATTACCTGTTGCTGGCTTTAAGTGTGGTTATGATTTAACATCAGGTATGTTTGTTATAAAAATCTTCGGAAAAAATTAATTATTACTGGAACAATCAAAAAGAACATCAATATTCTTTCTATGAATAAAAATCTAGTAGGCATAAATCAGATATTAGCCTGACCACAAGTACTCTTGCATGCATTTAGAGAATAAATGAGATGCTGGGACAAGCCAGTTTTGAAAAAAAGAACAAGAATGTCATTTAAAATCAGCTGCTAGACTTCTCTGTAGCATTAACATACTTGATTTGGTGCAGCTTTGCTGCTTGTAATGAGCTGATTTAATATGTACCTACTGATATATGCCTAATTTTAAGAAAAAAAAAAAAGGGGTGGTCCTGTGGAAGACCATAAACATCTTCTGGTGCTGAATTCTTTCAGGCTTCTTTTGGTCCTTGTATAGTCTCTGGCACTGAAAAGGTAGAGTCTGCTACAAGCCAAAAAGAAGATGACTCATATTTTGGCAAATGAGAGAAAAGGAAAAAATAAAATTGTAACTGCAGTGAGATTTGATGCTGCTGCAATGTGATTTGCTGGGGTGAGCTACCATAAAATCATAAAATGACAGCATAAACCAGGAGGACACAATGTTGTTGAGCACACAGCCATCTCAGCAACAACCTGGACTTGTCCTTCTTCACTGGAGAAGAGAAATGTCTTGTAGGCCTGTAAGAAATGAGGTCTCTCTGTCTGCCTTTGCGTATCCTCCAGAGAGCTGGCTGACATTGAAATGTCTTTCCCTTCTGGTTTTTGTAGGGGGCTTCTTCTCCACCATCTTTTCCAGTTTGTTTGGAACTCGAGAGATGAGGATTCTCATCCTGGGGCTGGATGGAGCAGGAAAAACAACCATTCTCTACAGGTTACAGGTTGGAGAAGTTGTTACCACCATTCCGAGTAAGTGATCTGCCCACAGCAAGAATATTTGCCAGGAACCTGTAGCTCTGACAAATAAACTTTGCCAGCTGAACTTAGTACATGCTTCCTTCCTAAACAAAAGGACCTTAGGTTGTGAGAGCCTTGCACTGTTGTATTGAAGAACTTTTCTGGAATAAAAGTATTACAAAAGGATATTTTATGCTGCCCTGCAAAATGCAAAAAGCATTTGACCTGAAGATTGTTAGCATGATTTCGCAGGCTATTTGTGATAGGTCAGCATTCAATAGATGGTAACTATGGACTGTATAATTCTTTTGGTTCCAAGTATAGCTGTTACGTGAACTTCAGAGGTCATTGTTGCTGTACATAGGATGGTGTACCTTTTTTTTTTTGACAGGGGTTCTATAAACACTTTTGTTCAACATGGAGAAGAAGAAATCAGATGATTTAACTTTACATTCTGTAGAAAATGTAACAAAACTCAGTGTGAGGTTTCAAGGGAGAAGATGATGCTTGTTTAAAAAAATGCAACTGATTCCACCAATTGTCTTGGCATTCAAGCAGCCACACCCACCCAGTGTGTGTGCCCAAGTGTTCTGGCTATGATGGCTCTGTGTAATATGAAGGACAAGGGATGCTTGACTTTTTTATGTCCCTGTCATGTCTGTTGTGTTCCTCCTGAGTCTGACTTTGCTCAGGCCTCTATTACCTTTTAGAAGCCAACAATTTGCTGGGACAAAATCTTTTTGCCTGAGGGTTTTGCTTATTTCAGGCTCCATAAATTTTAAGCAGCCTGTGCCTCTTGTGCTGTGTTTCTCTGGGCTGGCAGGACAAGGAATGACGTATGTGATACTGCAGCCTTGTTGCCATCTTCCAGACATCAGTATTGAGTCCTCTCCTGAGAGGTTGGTTCTGCTTTGGTTCTGCTGTGGCTCTTAAAAGAGTGCAGACCTTGTGTCGACAGAAGGACACATTCCTTAGTGCTCTCTTGCTGTCAGTTGTGTACTTAGTTATCACAGCAGGCCAGTTCTTTAACCCTTGCTCTGTTTCTTTTGGTCATTTCAGACACACTACTGTTGATTTTTAACAACCTCAGCATTTCTTAAAAATCTCTACAATATGTTTACAATGTGGTTTTATTAGTTCAAAAGAAATATTTCTGCATTATTTTGAGTCATGTTTGTTTGGGTAGCTTTTCAAAGGGCATGAAATTCATTATGCAGCTACTGAAAATTTTCAGGTCTGAAAATCTTAAACTGAGTGCTGTGATATTCAGAAAAAGAGGAAAATCACCAGCGGTGAAATTGTTTAACTTTGTTTCAGCCATTGGCTTCAATGTTGAGACGGTGACCTACAAGAATCTGAAATTTCAAGTCTGGGATTTAGGAGGACAGACAAGCATAAGGTAATAGATTTCTTAAAGTCAATTAACTTTCTCTAAAAAGTGCCAAGTTCTTGAAATTCTCATAGCAGGCACTTCTGAAAATTGGTTAAGTTTTAAAAAGCCCATTCTCAGGAGAGCATTTTCATCTAATGGAATTCATTCTGTACAACCTGTGATGCGCTACAGATTGGAAAAAAACAAGCCAGTGTTTTCATTTGTATTCAGTTTTGCTTTGAAAAACAAATTTATTAGTGTAGTAGGCAGTTGAATAGCATTTTGAGAAAGAATGGAGGGGGTGATAAAAACCCAGAAAGATATTTCCTAGCTTTGCATTGTTAAGAGTAGTGAAGTTGGATTTAGGTATAGATGGTAATTTTTTAGCAAGCTTCATGAGTTTTGTAATGAGTCATTAACAGTACCCCTGTATGATCCCCTTGTGATTCCTTTTTCAGTGCTTAGTACCAAGGTTAGCTAGTTAGCTAGTAAGGAAGGTGCAGTTAGTGAGATAAAGGTTCCTTCCCTTTTTAGTTTCAGTACAATAATTCTGAAAAAGATGGTTTTTGATCCTTGTTAATTACTTGCCTGTATTAATTATTCATTTAATATTTCTCTGGTGACCCTTCTTCGGTGACTGTAATGCAGATGCTTACGTCTTTAAACTTTCTTTGCTTTCCTGTCCCTCAGTTATGGACCTGATGTCCTGCAGTCTGATTCCCAAATAAATCTATCCCCAGCATGTCTGTTCTTTCCCTGTTTTAAAGTTGCTTCTTTATTTGCTTTGTGTTGAGTTGGGCTTTTTTGGGATTTTTTTTGTTCTGTCTCGGAGAGTTTGTACTTTCTGTTCGTTTTTGTAGCCTCCTGAAGAAGTCTACTTGCCTCCTGGGGCTTTTCACCCCAGGGACAGTTTTTACTTCCTCTGGATCATCTGTTTTCAATTATCTAGCTAAAAAGAACTGCTAACATGCAAATGACATGACTGGAACTTCTCCTCTGCAGGCCCTACTGGCGGTGTTACTATTCCAACACAGATGCTGTCATTTATGTAGTGGACAGCTGTGATCGAGACAGGATTGGCACTTCAAAATCAGAGCTTGTTGCTATGTTAGAGGTAAGAAAACAAGGATCACAGTCATCGGTAAAACAAATTGAGAAATTAAAACTTTTTTTTTGAGTAAATATGAAATTTGATTCAGTGAACCAAGTGAAGATCAACTTCACTTGTCAAACTTCAGCCCTCAGCACAGCCCCATGCAGCACTTCTGACTGAAAAAGCACTGAATACTCTGCAGGTATTTCATGGGTTTGTGCAGCATTATCTGGACAGTTAATTTCATGTAGCCTTGCAGTCATATGAAAATTTGCCTGCCAGGACAGCTGCTCAGTACTGCAGTGTGGCAAGATCAAGCCCTGAAGGATTGACAGTAATTAGTATCCTACAATGATTTGAAGCTGAATAACAAATGTAGAACAAGGTAATAGAAGTGAGTTGAGCAACACTTCCTTTCTCTTGCCTTGTTGCCCAAAATACCTGCAAGTTCATTTAATCTGCCTTGTTAAATCTAGCTACCAGCTTGTTTTGTAACTTGGACTGCTATGTTTTGAAACTGCTCCTATAGGGTATCATACTGGAATTGAAAATAAACACCATTATTTCACTGAAGAATTTTCTAGAGAACAGAAGTCAGCAAACAAAATAACTGAAAGCAGAAGTTCTTTATTATTATGTTTTTATATTAATTTTAATATAAAAATATTAAAGATATTTAAATATTAGATTTTTTATTATATAGGTTCTCTATCCTTAAATAAATTCCACAGAAGTCTCTGCAACAACTTCCACAATTTCTCTTTTTTTTCAGGAAGAAGAGCTGAAGAAAGCCATTTTGGTGGTGTTTGCAAATAAACAGGACATGGAACAGGCCATGACTCCCACAGAAATGGCAAATGCCCTTGGCTTACCAGCTTTGAAGGACCGAAAATGGCAGATATTCAAAACCTCTGCAACTAAAGGCACAGGGCTTGATGAAGCAATGGAATGGTGAGTACCAGTTTAGTTATGCTTCATTCATATACCTAATTTTACACATTTGGAGTTTTTTTTAATAAGACTGGATTTGTAGATAGTCTGATGTAAAAGAGTCCACATTAGAAGAATGGTTTTCTGCTGGAAGTATTTCAGCAGAATTGAAATGACTTTTCAGTAAATTGACTTAAACTTTCTCCTAGGTTGGTGGAGGCCTTGAAGAGCAGGCAGTGATACAAAACTGACCAGTGCAAGGACGTGTCAGCTATAGCCAGAACCCTCCTTTCTGCAGTTAAGTATTTTCAGGCCACAGATACTTGTAAATAGGACAGATTTGAATTTGACTTCTGTAATGTGGATGCCTTTCTTCAATTGTAAAACTGAAATAAGTGAATGTGTACATTATGATACTCCATTTCTTTCTTTTTGTTTAAAGAATGTACTTATGTTAATTTGTATGAAAGTCTTACTGGCTGAGAAAGTTGGTGTTTTTTTTGTCATCCCCCCTTCCTTTGGTGGTTTTGGTGGCCAGCATATTGGTGTAGATAGAACACTAATAAAATCTGGAACTGTCAGCTATACCCAGGGGTGTGTTGCTTCCTAGAGGCTGCTTGCTTTACAGAAACAAGTCCAAGTGCTGCCAGTCCCAGCAGCCACATGGCTGAACACCTGCAGAGCTGCACCTTCAGTGCAGACACTGTTACAGTGAAGTACAGCAAGAGAGCACAAACAGTGCACCTCTGGCTGCCAACATGGCATTCAGTAGGTGTCTGAAAGGAAAACCAGTGTCTTCAGCACACACTAATGCCCTGGCACATCAGGGGAACTTGATTCATAACCTGAATTTAACTTCCACCTTCATGAGCTGCACTCTCATCTTAGCCAGAAGTGACAGGTAAGTAGCTCAGTATAGCTGCAGAAATTGAAGGCCAAGTCAAAGTCAGGAGGCAGACTTGTCTCTCCAGGACCACTGTGTTCACAGGCAGGAATGCAGTCATCACAGAACCCATTTCTTACAAATGAAGTAAAATTTAATATAAAATATCATAGTTGTTGCCCATTCAACTGTACATGCTCCTGTAAATATACAGGTTTGGAAAAAATTTAGAAGTTTTTATTTAAGATCCTTGATGAAAAAGGACATAAAAATATTAATAAATACAATTGAAATATGCAAGTACTTTTTAAAACAGTCATTAGTTCTTTAACTCAGTACTACTTTCCATAAATTAATCCTCCAGGAAGGAAAAGTCTTTTCATTCCACCATTGCCAAATCTTTTAGTGCATTACTTCGATGTCGCTTGGCCTTGTACATAGGACGCAGGGATTCTATTTTTCTCTTCCTGGTTTCTGCTTTATTCTTGTGTCTCTTCAGCTTCCTCCTTGCAGCAATGTCAGGATTTGCTACAGTCTAAGGAAAAACAGTACATTGTTAGTTCATTAACAACTTACAGCAGTTCCTCTGAAAATCATGAACTTCCTAACAAAGTGGTGACTGCTAAGATAACACATGGGTGTTGTTGGGTTCCTCAAAACTGAGGGTATTCAGGCTGCTTTGCCTTTCAGGTAAGCAGGAAACCATCCCTGTCAGCCAGAACCTGTGCAAGAGGCCAATCATACACAGCTTCTTCCAAGTTCGTAAAGGAACTGAGGAAACTATCCTAATTAAAGATGAAGTTCTTCCTCAGACTCCCCTTCCTGGGCATCTCTCAAGCTTTTAGAGAAGCCCTATTTCTTTTTCTCTCAGGAGAAGGTGAAATCTTACCTGCAAAGCCCTCTGCTTTTTCCTCATTGCTCTTTTCTGGTTGGCCTGTTTTTGCACAGAAGAAAAGGCCAGCGAAAAGGCCTCCAGCCCCACTAACTTCTTGAGAAGTTCTATGATTTCTTGGGAAAGGTTCTTCAGTGTTGGATCTATTAAAACAAAATTGACTTAATCTTTTCAGCATATGAAACAAGCCAAGAGCACAATAGCCAAGAGCACAATATTGATTCCTCTTTCTTTAATAAAGGATGGCTGCACTGATAAACTTTGCCCAAACTGGTGCCTGTGAAATCTGCTGGTGCTTCACCAACTTTCCCAGAGAGTGGCTTTTCAACCAGCAAACAAACTAAAAAAAGCTGCTGAGAAGCAAAAAAAAAATTTTTAGAAGGGTGAAGTCATCCCAAAGGTAATTACAAGTGGCTTTCTATATACAGTCACTAGGCTTCTAGTGGAATAAGCTTTGTTGGAAATAAAGATGATTCCAGTCAGCATCCTTGGTAAGCAGAACAAGGGCTGGCTTAATTGTTGGAACCAGTAGTTAGTGGTAATATATTCACTACAATCACTGGGGGGAAAAAAGATACTGGGGGTGAAAAAAAGCAAAGAGGTGCTAAGGGAAAACTGAGAGCAGGGCAAATACTTCCCTTGGTCTCTCCAAAGTTACTCTCAGCAAGGACTCTAAGTCTTGCCACCATGAGCCCACCCTTGAGTACTACACTTTTCCCACTACACCACATGCTCAAGCTTTACCCACTTGAACATAGGAGCATGCCTAACTTCATTCCAGACTTTGAACATACAGATTTCTATTTCAGCAGACATAACTCTCCTCCCTTCCTGGTATTTTGGTTAGACAGCAAGCAAGTGAAATTCACTGATTACAGTATCAATGCCTCAACAGACAAAAGGAATGGCGGGCAGTGTTTGTGCTGGGGCATAGCTGTGATGCACATTCCTCTTTGTGAGGGAAATCCCTTACCTTGCTCTGCATAGTTGCTGTTCAGCTCCCTGTACAGAGGGGTGAGAATTGTTGGAAGGTAGGGCTTGATCCTGTCTTGCCCCAGATCCACTGAGATTGCTCCCAGGAACTTAAAGATGCAGCTTCTCTGAAAAGAAGTGTGGGGGACATGAAGTAAGGAAAGCTGGAAGGAAACTTCCTAACTGAATTGCTTCTAGGGCCATGCATCACTGCTCAACACAGCAGGTGTTGTTTTAGACACCTGAGTCACAAACTCACTGCTGTTCAAGGTCTTACTGCATCCAAGTACAGCCTTTAGAGACACAACCCTTTTGTGTGAGCTGGGACTGGGCTGGCAGCTGTTGGCATTTTGAACAACAGGTCTGTTCTCACTGTCCTCTTCTGAGGCAACTGAAGACACAAAAGCTCAACGCAGTTCTGCACCAGAGGGAACCACAGTGCTTTTTGTGATGCTCTCCCACACATCCCCTCCCCTTGTTCTAGGAAGCTAATACTGCCAATCCCCTGCCTGCATGAGCCTAGCACTCTTGGGAATTCAAAGGCACTGCTCTGTTCTCTTCATCCTTCTCTTCAGCTTGGTGCCTGGGGGTTCACCACTCTTCCACCACCCCCCAGGAGACTGGAAGCATTAGCAAGAACCAGACTGGCACAAGCCTTTCCTGAGAAGCCCAAAATGAAAGGCTTGTTTCTTCAGCACCTACTAATCCTTGCTTCAGTGTCAGCTCACAGCACTCTCTGCACCTTGTCCCCTGAAAGCAAAGAGCCAGAGCAACGCTACCCTGTAGAAGTGCCCACCCCATCAAAAGCAGTGGGACTAGCACTGTTCTTACCTTTAAAGGGACCTTAGGGGAATAGGCTGCTTCTCTCTTCACCATGACAGAGAGCTTCTTCATTAACCACAGCAGTGTGGCTGGCTGGCCTTTCTCTTGCGTGTCCTCTCTTTCTTCTTCTCCTTGAGCAGAATTATCTCTCTCATCCTCTGAGACCTCCTGCTCTTCCACTTCACACCTGAGTTCTCCATCTGCCTCTTTACTGTCTTCTGAGGCAGGGGCTAGCAAGTAAACAACTTTGGCCACAAAGAGTAAATTCTTTATAACCTGAAGTGTAGAAACAGAGGAGTCAGTCACTGTGGGTTGCCTCTATAAGCACCAGGACATGTAAAAGCCAAGACTTGATGTGACAGAGGAACTTGCCCTGAGCAGAGAGCAGCTAGCCCTGAACTGTGTATCTGCCCTGAGCCACCACCTAGGACACAATACCCCTCACATGCCAGGGCCTGCTCTGTGCCCTCCTGCAGCCACAGCCAGGCTCCTGCCCTTACCTGCTCACTCAGAGACGTGTCCAGGAACTTGGACTGCAGCTGATGGCAGAATGCAAATGCAAGTTCTTTCATCTGGGGAAATGAAAAAGGAGAAAGGAATGACTCCATTGAAGGGAGCTGGTAGCAGAGACCCAAAGCAGTATTTTGCAGTCACCAAAGGCAGTTCCCAGGGGAGACCAAAGGATCAACACAACTTCTGCCTGCATCTTACAATCTGGAAGGGTATTTTTGTGGTGCTGAGAACAAGACCCCAGAGAAGCCTCCTCCCAGCAGCAGAGACACATACTCAAATGCTTTAAGTGATGAGGATTAGACAGCAGACAACTGACTAAAAAAGAAACATGCATGCCAAACTATGAACTATTTTTATGTCCCAGTCAGGGAATGGGCATGAGCAGAGTGAAGGAGTAGTACAGACATGATTACCTTTTTGTCCAGTTCAGCAGTCAAAAAGACTATGGATGCAGACAGCTCTGCTGGTGCCTTTTTTCTCTTCCCTGACTTTCTTTCCTTCCATTTGTTGACAAGATCTTCTGGCTTATAAGATGCAAACAACAAGCCAAAGATCTCAGTGGCTGTCAGCCAGACCCAGCTATGAGGATACCACAGGTGAGACTGGACATGATCTGAGGAAAAGAAAACCTCTTTCAGCAAAGGAGATGGTCCATTGAGAGCAAAAATATAACAAGGCCACTCCCAACAATTTATTTATTGCAACATATGCTGCAATACAAAGGTGAATGAAATGAACTGTGCTCATCTGCTCAGAACATAGTAAGAGACTTTTTAGCAACTCAATCCAGCCAAAGTGAAGAGCAGCAAAAACCTACAGGTAGCCAAATGTCCCCACAGTGATCTGGCAAGTCATGTTTCTGCAACAACTACAGTCCCCTCAGGGACTCGGTGCCACAGCTCATCTGCCCATGATGTCTGGGGGACTGGCTATTGTGAGACTTGTGTCAGCTGGCCCTGCTGCTGATGGTCAAATCAAACCCCTGAAGAGAGGTCAAGGGTGCTTCAGAGAAGAAATGGAGCTGCTCTCCTGTCTCACCTCTGTCCAAGCTCCAAAATCACCAAAATCTCCAAAATCCAAGATAACAATCCAGGTTATCTACTATCTCACTAAAGGCACCTGGCAGGCTGGACTCTTCAAAGTCACTAACCAGCCACATCAGGTGGCATTCTGATTGCAGCAAATGAAGCAGTTAAAATAAGGGCAACAAAATGGCAATAAACCAGCCTCATATTTTATCATCTCACACACAGGGAAATTGCTTGAATCAAGTAACTTCCAGATCTTCACATCCTGACACACAGTATTTAGAGCAGTATTACCATGGGTCATCATTTTCTGGCTGGTATGTATGATCAATCTCATCTTCTCAGGAAAGCTCCATGTTTTCATCCAAGAGAATGTAATGATGATGAAACGTGCAATAGTTTCTAACCATTTCCTCTGGGGGTAATAGAAAGTACTTCCCAGCATCTGAGACAGAGGGTGTGCTGTTTTCATCAGCC